GCTTCTCGAGCTATAAGGGTGGGGGATATTTTTGGCTTGCGAGCAGCTCAGATCTTGCGTCCAGCTTCCTCTTGTCGCTGTTGTTCTGGACGTGGTTTCTGTTGCTCAGCATGGCGTCACGTAAGTCTTCTCCGAAGCGTCATACCAGGGGTGCACTCTCGTTGCGGCTTCCTTCATTCCACTTCGATAAAGAGGGGGAGCCTCGCAAAGCTCAGGCTGGACAGCCAGAGACTCCCCCGGAGTCGGCCTCCAGCTGTGGAAGCCTGGAGACGGAGGACACACCAGCGCCCGCGGCAGCAACAAGAGCAGACGAAGACAAGGACAAGAAGAGGGAGCGGCGGAAGTCGCGGTTGGCCATGTTCACTTCGTTCCTCCCCCTGCTCACACCCTCTCCTCCAACAGATCCAGACCCGGCACACCAGACTCATCGAAAGCCCGTTTCAAACCCGAACGATGCTTCCCAATATTTCGATGGAGGCGGCGGCAATGCTCCCGCAGCTCCCACCATGCAGCCCCCTCCGGTCCCCCCAAAGGTATTACCGACACCAACAATGTTGAAAAAGGTACAAAAGACGCCTCCTGGCCCACATGCCCAGCCGGTGCCGCCGTCACCAGCGCCCATCCTGCGTGGACCAGCGCCATCACCATTCATCGCACAACCCTCTCCGCCTGCCGGGAGAAACTCCCGAGACAGGGTAAAGAGCGTGTCACCAAACACCCCTCCCCAGCCGAATCGTCTACAGGCACGCCGAGTTTCGCCGTCTCCAGCTCCTCGTGGTCGCAGTACCTCAGCTCAGCCTCCCAAGCCCCGTGGCATATCTGCCGAAGCTCCGAGAGTTGTTTCGGGTCCGGCCGAGGTAAGGGCGCCTTTGAACCAGTCTGATGATGGCGAAAAGCGGAAGTCGAAAAGAAGCTTCTTTCGTGGGAGATCAAGGTCGAATTCAACCGACTTAGGGAGTAAGGGGAATGGAGCTTGGATTATGTCCCCTGGAAACCAGTCAGACTATCAGGTTACGCCTCTATTAAACGGTGATAAGGTACTTGCTTCATTCCCCCCAAATCTTTAATTGGTTTCTATATTAACAGTTTACAGGTGCCCGAGCTATGGAGCGAGCCTGGAAATGTCCTAGTTCACCTGCATCCCAAAGAGAGTGGTCTCGGGCCATCTTTTAGGGTGGCAGACCATGTCTTTCAGCCATCAAGGCTTCTTAACGAAATTCTAGAAGCAGCAACAACATCAGGAACCCCTCGCAGCGGCACTTATCTCGGAGTTAACGATGCCTCAAACCGGCTTCTCTCGCCTGCACGAGGGACCGCAGAAGGTCATCTTTACCTTCCCCTTGGGAGCCCGCTAGACTCCGAACGCCTCATTTCCGCTCGCAATCTATTTGCATTCTTGACAAACCAGCCGCTGGTAGGAACTAAGGCCCATCCGACCATTTTCTCGTCGCTTATTCAGGTCGCTGGCCTCCTCTGTCAGTTTGGCTTTAGCAATTACGATGGTTCATCCTTTGGCGACTCGGTCGATGCATCCTTTGACCTTTTTCTGGACCAATTTGGCACCGGGGACGTCCGGCACAGCCGAGAGAAGACCTTGGAGGCTCTCGTCTTGGCCGAATATATGAAATCGTGGAATCTTTACAACGAGGCCTTTACTCATGCCGTTGGAAAGTATGAGTCGCTACTCGAGCTCAAGTCTCCACTGTACAATAGCATCTCTGTTGGCACGCGCAATCGCTTAGAGCGTGCTAATCTCAACCTTTGCCAGCGCCAGGCCAACGTGGATAACCGCCTCGAGGCGTTCGAGTTTCCTTCTCTTTTTGCCGGCGTTGCCAGCTCCACGTCAAGAGAGGAGCTCAGGAACATCAAGTTTAAGGAATGGAAGAACTCCTTCACCAAAATGAGAGCTTTTGTTCTCGGTTACTACAAGGATTTGTTCGGGAACTGGCCGCCCAAGGCTCGAAGCAAGAAGAATCACTTCTCTCAGACTGGCCTCAACCGGCAGTGTCTGAAGATACTTTATTCGGATCTCTGCGCGCTCTATGACCTGTTGGTTGACCGAGAGGCCATGACCACCAGGACTATCGACGGGGTTTCTGACGATGCCCAGGAAGTTGATCCTATGATCTCCGCTTTACGCCTAATTCTAGGCGAGTTCGACCGCTCCTCGCCTCCGGTGCTACCTCCAATCCCATTCGATGTCCCCAAGCTTCCCACCATGACGACTATCCATGAGAAATATGATGCACTGCCGACAAAGAAGCAGGCCAAGTTTGATAAAACACTCCAGTCTAACGAGCTTCTTTTGCTCCTGATCAAATCCCGCAACATCGACACCGACTCTTTGCGGATACCATTCCTGGATGCCTTCAAAGAATTCGAATTGAAGGAGGCCAAAAATGCCAATCCTCATGACCTCGCTGATCAGCGCATGGGGCACTGGCTATTCTTGTACGTTGTGATCCAGTCACTTCCCATGCTGGTTGTTGACGCCCCTGGCCTTAATTGGACCGAGGGCGTCGAATACTTTCTTTGCCAGGCGCCACAAGGAAACCCTCCATGGATGGAAGATGCTGGCGAGGTGCGAAAGGCCTGGTTTCAGACCGCTGGCGGTGGCAGTGTAGAGCTGTCAGCGGATGTGATTATGTTCTCCGCTGAGGGAATCTACATGCGCTCGCACTGCTGGCTTGCCGCTAAGGCATGGCAGTCGGTGGCCGGAGGAGCAGCTCTCCCACCGCCACAGGCAATCGCTTCGCCTCTGGAACCCCCCAGGGCTGTTTTTCAGGACATGGATCCAGTGTCGAGCCCACTTGGCGGTGGACCTCCTACTCCGGGCTCCGGGCCCAACTCTCCGCGCTTGCATGGGCGGAATGCTTCCCCTTCCGGAATCCGTGCTGGCCGTGCCTATCGCTCTGGCATTGCTATCGGGCTCGAGCCGCTACCGCTGCCGCCCCCGTTTGCGGATGGCACTCCACCCGGCAGCAGTAGCGGCGACTATCGCCGGGGATCGGGCGCTGGGCTCAGTGGTTCCATGTATCAACTGGGACTACAAGGCAGTAGCCCGGCAATGGATGTCAACAGTCCCCATGAGCTCCCTCCGCCGCGCAAGCCAAGCACGCAAGGCTTGTCTCATACCCCGACCGGCTCTGTGAGCGGTAGCACCTTTGATGATATCCTGAAAGGCATGGAAGCGGACAAGGACAAACCCAAGAAGCGGTCATTCTTCTGATATCAGTCATATTTCTGGACATACTCAGACTGCCATTTACCGCCCTGTTTGTCTGTCTGCTATTTACGGCTAGACAGATGATGATACCCCCTCTTTCTATTTGCTGTTTTGTAAGAGATATGGTGTGTTGAAGTTCATCTGGGAGGGCTATCCACCATTATATTTATGCATATAAGCCATTGTTGCATGCGTGTTCTGGTGTGTACATACCACATACCTTCTACCCCCTTTTTTCAATGTACCTGTTAATATGTGTAATACATAACAGGCGACCTGAAATGCCTAAATAGCGAGGATGGTGATGCGTTTTGATAATCCTGGTAGATGTCTCACTACCTGTGCTAAACCCTGGAAGGATTTCTAATGGGCTTTTCTATATGGCAAATTGCAGAATTGCGTTATTCGCAACTGAATCTAATATCATCATTATCATATTAAACTATTCAGCAAATAGGGTGGTAGGCATCAAGTCCACTCACACTCGTCACACTGCGAGCACTAATAAATGAAGGTTGATGAAGACAAAAAAAGACGAACTAAAGCATCGAAACGGGAGCTGCATTTGCAACTAAGGTCTAAGGAAAGGGAAACCAGATTGTATATATTATCTTATCATCCTACTCAAAAACCACAAGGAATTCAATAGGCAGCCAGTGATTGTGGCAGGGCTGTTCTATGAGAAAGTGAACATGTTATGTCTAGGTACCTACCTCATGGTGTGTCAAATTTCTCGGCTTTTGTGCCCTAGCCTACCCACCTTCCCACCTGACTTACCTACAGACAATGGGTGGGTTATAGCTAGGTGGCTTGCTTGGTCAGAGCAGGTGCTCGGGGTTTTGAACTTACTTTCGCTCCGGTTCTCGGAGACCAGGTATGAAATATGTAGGACCCATGACTGACAAGTCAACGTGGATAATTCTTCAAGTGCGAGTGTTAATGGCCGATGTGCAGCTTTAATATGTGAGATGGTTGGATGATGACAGGCCACAATATACATTTTATTTAGTTAGTACTAGCAGATGAGATTAATTAGTGGATGATGAGAAGAGGAGCGCTGGAGTGGTCAAAACACACAACAGAAAATGAAGACAAAAGACGCAAAGCGAGAACGACGACACCAAGGCTCAAAGGATTTCCCCCCCAAACTACATTCTTGGATTTTCTAGGAGGGAACTGAAATTGACACCACTACATCCTTAAAGCTCTATGCAATTACTAGGTATGCACTATAAAAAGGCAGCAAACTCGTGAACCGGGTGGAGTTTACACAGCGAGTATGTCTCGGCATGTCATGATTGTCAAAGAATTATATGGTCTATGTCCAACATAGATAGGTATGAGGGACCCTTTTCTCACTCACTCAATTGCCAACGTGTTTTTTTCATACCATCGTCAATAATTCCAGGTAATTTAGTCTAATTTCGGTCAGATAAAATCACTGAACCTAAACTTTGAACTAAAGAAACAAGCACCGAAAGAAATTTTATATTTTTGCCATGCCCACCCTTTAGCAACCCAGCCCCTGTTGTTTACTCCCCCAAATCACAAACCCAATCGCCGCCGCCCGCCGACTCAAAGATGATGGATGGTGACTCGTGCATACCAGCCAAGCAGCCGACTAAGCTTGCCCCACATGACTCATACCTTCTAAGCTTTTGCTCCCGCCGCAGCGGGCCCCTCCAAAAAAAAAACCCCTTCCCACGTTGCTGGGCGGGTTTCATATACCAATCCTTGCGACAGCTTTTCCATCGAAAGAACATAAAACGATTGCAGCTGCATGGCGCAGTGGAAGCGCGCCGGGCTCATAACCCGGAGGTCACTCGATCGAAACGAGTTGCAGCTAAATAATATCATTTGTTCGATTTCCTTTTTTGATTTCTTCAATCTTCACGGAGTGAAATTGCATAATGCCAGCCTGCACTGTTGCAGTATTATTTTTACCTGCTTGCTTTGATATGCTCAAACTCTCACTTATAACCAATCCCCCGATCGTCTCTTTTTCTGACAGCACTATCGCGTAAAACTAGGCAAAGAGCGCCACGCAGGAGTAATTTTCTTACAAGAGAGAATAGTCGTCGGTTCAATTTAAAGGCAGTGCTTAGATTCCCACGCTATTTTTGTTTACAGTGCCAACCAGGCTCATTTTCCCCTTCCGCCCCACTGTAGAAATAAAAGGCTATGAAATGTGTTCCAAGATCTTTTTACACAACCCCCAACGACTATCAAACCACATCTAGTCTACTCGGAGCACCCGTGGCCCTCTCTTCTTCATGACTTTCTTCTTCTTCAGGCCACGCTCAAACGCCGATGCGGCAGCATGGTCACGGCCAACATTATCCAGGTCCTTGACCTTGTAGATCCTGATAATCCAGTTCTCACTTGTGAAAGCTTCATCCAAAACATCGAGAGTTGGGCCAACCTCGGGGAGACGAGCTCCACGGACGCGGTCCTGGGCCTGTCCAGGGGGGAAGAGGTTGTTGTAGTTGTAGTAAGACATCTTGTACCTGGGGAGTTTTTAGTATCGCTGCAACATAATTTAGTTCCATATAAAGAGCACTTACATCAGGCTGTCCTTCATCACTTGCGAGGCCTCGGCGTCGACGCGGTACTCGCCACGAGGAGTGAAGAATGCGCGCTCGTTGACCTCCTCGGGCCAGATGCCCTCGGCGATACGGACCATCCAAAGGAACTTGTTGATGTCGTCACCAGAGTAACCCAGTAGGCCTCCAAACACGACCAGGACATAGTCGACTTCATGCTGACGCATGATCGGGTAGCTGACCTCCTCCTTGGAGCTCATGGCTTTACCCACAGTCGCGATGTGTGTGTTGTTCCAAGTGTTGTTGTCGACCAAAGTAGGACGATCCGCCATGCCACCAATCTGATAGCCATAGTCCCACCAAGACATAATCTTCGCATCGTCCTTTGTGTTTTGGCGCAACCACTGGTAGGCTTCACGGTAGTCGTCAATGATGTGCTGGCTGCCGTCGGCAAGTTTGCTTGCCAAAACGACTGACGGAGACGAGTACGCATTGGAGGTGACCCAGGTGCAGTGCAAGACGAACAGGAGGAGGTAGACAGTCATGGCGCTCACTACAGCGCCCTTGGAAATGAGCGAGTACACGCCAACCACGGGCTTGCTCGTAGACTTGAGTCCACTCTTGGCTTTCTTAGCCACAGCTTCAGAGACGTCCTCAACCTGGCGGTCTTCGGTGCTCGGCGACTTGACAATCAGATACGCGTCAAACACATTCGAGACTGCAATGGCGGCAGCAACACACACCACAGGGGTGAGCGTTAGCATCAGACGAACCATGACACCGGCAAAGTAGCTTCCGAAAAGAGCATATACGACAATGAATACATGCTCATCGGCGAGCTGCTGGAAGCAGAGGTAGACACCGGCAGGGAACAGCCAGATGAGCATGTTGAGGTCGAAAAAGAATGCCGGCCATGCTGTCGGCTGATGCTCGGACACGGACGCAATGATGGGAATGTGGATCTTAGCGTAGCTGGTATCCCAGAGCGAATAGAAACGGCCGCCCCAGGGAGCAATGACGCCGGCACTGGTAGCGATGACCAGGCCAGCAAGTCCGATTCCGAAAGTTCCTCCAGCAAAGAGCCACAGAAAAGTCTGGAACTGACGGCCGGGAATGGCTGAGCGGACATAGTCAAGGAATGCAAGAAGCTGCAGGAAGCCGAAGATGCCTATAGGTACGGAGTTAGCAGTGTCTTGGACACAGAAAATGAAGTAATACATACCCAGGGCGGGCATGTGCTCGCTGGTCTTGACGGGCAAGAAACCAACGAATGGGATCTGCATGCTGGCTAATGTCCCAAGGGCATACCAAGTAGTGTATGCGACATAGAGCCTGGTGCTGTACCGGCCCATGCAGATGAGGACAAAGGAGTGGAGTGGGAGGAGGCAGGTGATGAAAGCGTAGCCACCCCACGAAGCTACCATGTAGCCGTAAAAGAGGGCACAGAGGGCTCCCCAGAGCATAGAGCCCAGCTTCAGCGCCTTAATCCAAAGGTAAAATGTGAATACGAGCAAGAAAATGGAAATGGCTTCGTTGTCGTAGCTGCCAGCAACTGAACGAGAAATATAGCCGGGCGCAATGCCCATGAAGACAGCAGCAAGAAGTCCGGCCGAAGGCGACGGGGTCATCTCGTTGGTAAGAAGGTAGGTGGCGTAGGCGGTAAGGCCGGAAAAGGCGGGCGCGAGGAGGACGCAGATGTTACGGATGTCGACGGGGATGGTAAGGGCGCGGAGGGCATGGTAGATGGCACCACTCGTGACCATGAGGCCCGGATAGAGCGTGCCACCGGTAACGCGGCCTAGGGGATGCCATGTCCGGTCGTCAAACCAGTCCCAGAAGCTGTAGAAGCCATTCGCCACGAGGTACTTGGTTGCCCTGAAGTTGAACCACGGGTCGACTGCGTGAGAGTGTTAGCATTTGTGTTTTGTGTTGCTTTTCAGGGTTTGGCCAGCATCGTGACGAGAGGTGGGGTGGTCAATGGCATACATTCATGGATAATACTCTCGAAACCTGCACAAGAAGACGTCGAGTTAGCAGTCTGTACGTTTGGATCTCGCAGGGCAAAGGATGAATAGAGATATTCCCCCCCTCCTACCCCCTACAACCAAGACACAACTTACGAATCACAGAAAACAGTCGGCTTGCAACTGCGGCGCCGGCGATGAGGAAGAGGATGACAACTCGCAGCAGAGTGCGAGTGCTCTCCCCCTTGCCGACATTGGCAAGAGCTTGAAGTGGTTCGGCCGACATAGTGGCCACGGTTGTTTGCGGTGCTTCCTCTGGCCCTGTGGAAGTTGAGGCTGCGACAAGTTCATCGGCGGCCGCTTGGGACTTATGTTGGAGAGGACAGCTTGGAGCTTACAGCACACGCTAGCGAGGCCTTGGCACGCATTTGATCACGCCGCGGCCAGGGGTGTGCCTAGTGGGCGGGCCGAGAACCTTGCAGGGTCTTGGGTGAAAAGCCCCACTCCAATACATTTATTTGGTCAACGGTTTTCTTTTTGGGGCTTCACGAGACTGAAGGTGAGGACGTGAATGCTGAGCCTTCATACTTGTTGTAATAATATCTAGAGACATTAGGTGTAAGGAGCGGAAGGCATATAATCCTGCTATATGTAGCTAAGTTATTTGTATATGCCGCAGTTTAAGACGAAGGAAGGACGTCAGGATTGGTGTTTGGTTCGGCTAGGTGGTTATTTTGCGATTTGAGTACAGAAAGTTGTGTTAGATCTACCGACTTGAGACTTTAAATGTGATTTTGGGCTCGTGGGAGAGAAACGCGGAATCGAGATATTCAACCAACACTGGGCTTGGAGGTAATACGTCATGTAGGAGAGGATATGTATCACGGCCGGACTACGTCGGACACTATAGAGACACGAGGGCAGAGAGAGTTGGCACATCGTCGTCAAATGTGGTCAGATATCTGCATCAGACAGCGCCTGATGAACGACCTTGACGGCATACAAAAAATGCAGACGTAAACCCATGGCGCCATCAATTTCCCCACGCAAATCGTCACCAAGGAAATCCGTTGTAGTTGTTCAGCTCAGAGCTCTCATTCGGCACGCGTATAGCGTATAAGCTACCTAGCCGGATCAAGACTTCTTTGTCCTCGTGGATAACACCCCAAACCCAAAAGCAAAATTCCCTGGGATGATGCAATGAATTGAGAGTGCGAAATCTTTTAAAAACCGCGCCGCCAGTGCCTGAGATACACAGTTATCCCTTAAACTTAAACCCCAGAAATTCTCTATGCCTGCCGAGCCTGTTAGCACTCCCAAGTCTTGTACATCCAGAGGGGGCGGCGGATGGGTCTGGAAGACAGTTCCCCTTCCCCAACCGCAAACCCCATGGGCTCAGCATACCTTGACGGCGAACTTCCGTGTGGGGAAGTGCTGCGCCTTCTTCTTGGTCTTAAGTAGCGTGATGGAAGCATCCTCCTTGGACAGGGCGCGACGGATGGCGCGGGTCTGCTTGGGTCTGAGGTCGAGGGGAAGGTACTTCTTGTTCTTGTAGAACAGGCGGAGCTGAGCCCGTTGCTTGGCGTTGATGATGGTGAGGACACGGGCGATCGACTTGCGGAGGTCGTGGCTGTATATGCGTGTCAGTAACCATATCCCTCTCCCCTTCTTGCCCATAGTATATTTTCCGGGGGAGTCGTTAAACCGGGTCGACGTACATCTTTGTGAGCTTGGTGCCGGAAGAGACGATCTTCTGGATGCGAAGCTGGCCGAGCTCGGCCTTTAGCTCACCGAGCTGCTTGACCAAATCCTCCTTGCTCTTCGTCCATAATTGGGCTGCCTTAACCTTGCCGGAGGAAGACTATGACATGATGTTGGTAAGCTGGTGATCTAAAATTTGAAGGACCATTTCGATTGTCCCCCAAAGGGCCGAGGCGCGGGGTGATTGATCGAACATGGAGGGCAAAAAATCGGGAGCGGCCAATTGCCCAAATGATTGCAATCTCGTGCTTACCATCGTGAAGTATTTTGTCGTCTGGTCGAGTGGCGATGACTACTTGGCTGGCGACGAGTGTTACTATCGAGAATAACGACGTGCTTCCTGCCACTCTCAGAGTCCAACAAAATCTGAGAGGTGTGGATGCGTAAAATCGCCGAGCAGGGCGGAAAACCCTACCAGTGTGCGAAGGTCTGTGCGCCATACCATGCCTGAGGCCGCATTCACCCAAAATTCCCAAACAGGCTAGCTTGGGGTTTTTGGTTCTTTTGCACTTGCGCACAACCGGGGCTATCGACCACTTTTCAAAATCTCGAGCAGCAGTCCGGAAGTTGACGATCGA